ACTTCCTGTTGTAGTGCTCTGTTGTAGAGCTAAACTGTCTGTTTTGTCACGCTAAACTTTGGGAAGTAGTGTTTTATACCAAGTCAAACGAAGCCAAAAGGTGAAGTGCCAAAAATTCCAGTTTCTCAAAATGCTGCCAGGCTCCAAGAGCGAGTCAGTCCCCACAGACCCCCATAATTCCTGAGATTCTGAGAACTGTACAAAGGATTGAAGCTTTTTAAGTCACTGAATCTGGAACTGGTGCTGTTGATCGAAGGGTCTGTCCTGTCCAAAAAGACTCATTGTCAGTGCTCATTGTCTGGGCACTAATAGCTAGGTACATCTATAGATGTACCTAGCTAATGCTAGCTAGAATTAGCTGCTAAATTAACATCCAGACTCTCATTCATGTATGGTTTATAAAAAGAAAAACAAAGAAAAGAAAAAAAGAATGATGCATTAGCCCCTATGCTAAGGCCACTGCTTCAAGAGTAGTCCAAAAATAATAATGACATCACTTTGGTTACAACCCTCTTTTATATACAGTCCATAGTTTATATATGGCAATGGAAAATGTGATATAATAGTGTAAAGTTTCCTTGCTTAGAGGGCCTGAATGTAACAAATAAAGACATCAAATGCGAGACTTGACACATTATGTCTCTCTGGCATTTCCTGATGAGGGGAAACAATGACTACAAAACTAAGCCTCCGCACGTCAACCTAGACAGGATACACATACTCTGCTTGGGAGGTGAGACAAAGGCAGCCTGTAATGTGATGCTGCTTTTCTTTTTTCTTCTAGCTACCTGGACAAGCCATCTGGAACACGCACAGAGATACACACCTACGCACAGGTGTGCGTGTTTGAATCCCAGCTGGGGCTGTTTACTTTTACCAGCCCACAGTTGGTGACGGCAGGTGTTTGCTGATGTAAATGAGCAGACTTCATATCCAGCTCAGCCTGTATGAATCAGCAAGATCCGTTATAAATAAAAGAGTAGCTATACAGTTGTTTCCGTAACACCTTAGTTCTCATTCATCGCTGCCCCAGCGACAGCACCTCTTGAATTACTGAGTCTCTTCCTCATTGTACAAGCAGACATGAAGGTCGTCAAACCATTAAATAAAACAATAAGCCAGAAAGTTAAGCTATGAAATCCAGACAAGGCATGACTACATTCTGCTGCATGAACAGAACATCAAAACACCAAATCAGATGTTGTTTTTCCAGGTGGAGACTGATCACATCGAGTACTAGATTTGAAAAATCTGTGTAGGAAACATTGACTACTGTCCTGGAGGTTTGTGGCAGCCCAACATGTAATTTATCAATCATACATTTTACTAACCACATGACATCACAGACAATTATCATTCTGGCCTTATATTTCCACTGTTGCATGGCTCCATAGTGTTTTTTTGCCTAACAAGAGAGAGGTTACTTTTGGGGTTGCCTCAGGAAGGGCATCCGGCATATATAAAAAAAAGAAAAATCTGCCAAGTCAAACATGTATGGTTGCTCCCATGTGAATAAGAAAGCAGTTAAAAGTAGTTTCTGTATACTTTGTTACAGTTAAATTATGTCTTCAGACACTTCCGAATTATCCTGGTTTTAAACTAAAAACCAAAAGCTTTTAAAGTGCAGCAACACAGGCCAAGTATAGAATAACTCTACACCCAGCTCTATATTTTAAGTGTCAGGGATTTTCTGTTTTGAATCACAGAAAACTGACTGTCCCATATAGATTATTTGTTTTAAGACATCCTTACAGCTGTTATTTTCATAATAGAACAATCTGTGTAATATAACATGATTTTTTTCTGTTTAAGCTGATGGAAACTAGTGAACAGGATTTACCACAGCCCAGAAGTGTGTCACCAACCACACTGACCAGGGGAATGGGATATATGAACTACGAGCTAACTTAATACTTCTGCATTTCAGTCTGTTCACTGCTTATAAAACTAGCACTTCGTAGGGGAAGACTTTTCGTAAAGCTACAGTGCTAAGGAAGAACTGTGGATTAGGTGTGAAATCTTGGCCAGCGGAACAAAACCAAGGTGAAACTTGTTATCTGCTGATTAGGAAAAAGCATAACCAAAGGCCAAGGGCGGAGTTAGGCCAGAGGGAACAATAAGAAATGTGGACTGCCTGCAAGCGCAGTACACCGGGCCACTGCTGAGTTCAAGTTAACGCAGTTAACACTCCGTCCACAGCTGAAGTTCAAAAAAAGAAAATGAGGAAAAAATAGCATTATCAACGTGACCTTTGCTCTCTTTCACACACACTTCTTTTAATGATCTGTAAGGACGGCATTACAGCTGCACACACTCCCACCTGTGTACGGTGTGCTCGGCGTCCGGTACTGGCGGACAGCTGGACTCACACGGTCCAGTTTGCGGCAACAGTTCCGCGTTGCTGTGGTAACCCGTTAAAACCACTCCCTGTGACTCCATCTGCTGCCGGCTCATGTTTCTCCCGCTTTTCGTCTTTCTTCTATTTTACACACGGCTATGACATCCGATCGCTAATCGATAGATAATCACTTTATCCGTGTATTCCTTCCATCTGTGTGCGGACTTGTTGCCGACTCATTCTCACATTTTACTCTCCTCCTCCTGGTTCTCCTCCTTCTCGTCCTCTCGGCTCCGTATTATCGTCTTTCTCTACAACTTGTCGGTGTGTTTTCTGAGAGGCAGCGCAGGACAGGGGCTGGATTACACTCACAGACCAGCTCCGGGATTGGTCCAAACCCCGCAGGGCAAAGTTACCGATGTGACAGCGCACCCAGCTGCTCTAACAGGGTACTGAAAGCTTCCTGTACAAATAAGCTCAAGGGGGTTTTTCAAGACTCCTCCATACATCTTCCCAGTAAACACACTTTTCTCCTTAGATTTGAATTATCATCTATCATTTATATATAGACACACACACACACACACGTATGTGTATTAACAGCTTGTGGCACCATTTTTAAAAAGTTGTAAAGCAGGACAATTAAAACCATGTTACCTACATTTTATAAAGATGGTAACTTTACATGCATTTCATGTAATGTCAACATTGCTCAGTCTAATCTGGCTCCACATTGTGTCTTTTGTCCCGACTTCCTTTCCTCACCCTCAACCCCTGGCGCCAGATAGCTGACCCTATCTGAGCATGGTTCTGCTGAAGGTTTCTTCCCGTTAAAAGGGAGTTTTTCCTTCCCACTGTTTCCAAGCACTTACACATAGGGGGTCATCTGATTGCTGGTGTTTTTTTGTTTAGATTATTGTAGCTGTATTACTTCACCTTACAATATAAAGCCCCTTGAGGCAACTGCTGTTGTGGTTTGGCTGTATATGAATAAAACTGAATTGAACTGAATGATCTGCAACCCGTACAGCTAGTGGGACTTAAATGTATGTTATTTGCTCTACTATTTACAACTTAGATCAGGTGGAAGTCAATGCTCAGTGTTTTTCCACTCTGGATTGATAATGAGCAAAATAAAACTTCCTGCTAGTTTCAGCCATACAGCTTAAGGGTTCTTTATTGTCATCTTACAGTTTTGCAGCTGTTGTTTTAAAATACAGCCTAGGGTTCATGTTCGTGGGCAGCTGCTTTGGCTTTGAAATGAAGTAGTGTTTCTAATATGCAGCTTTGCAAATACTTGAGGGTGTTCACACACTGACCTGAGCCTGCATTATATTAATATCCTGCAAGTTTATACTTGCACCCCCAGGAAAATTGCTTGGATCATTTTTGGATAACATAACATTTCTAGTAACCACAAATTCCAAACGATAGCTTTTAATATGTGAATAACTAAAAAAGTTACTTGTCACATTACTGTTCAATATGCACAACTACAATATAAAAGGTAAACTGACTACTTTTTTTCTGTGTATGCTGTTATATATGCAGTGTATATTACATGCTTATAACTGTATCATATTTCAAAGGCCCAGAGTCAGTCAGAGCTGATCACAGCACATGCACAGCAGGTAAACTACACATTTGATCCTAAATTTTGAGCACTTACAGGTAACACACATCACATAGCATGTGACCTATGTTTAAAAATAAAAAGGGTTACATACCCATATGAACACACCGGTGTACAAACACAAAAACCTTACTAATTCCTTACCTGAGCTGGAGGTAGTATGTGAATCTGGAGGCCATTGTTTTGTTGCCTGATTGAATTCAGTAAAGCTTTGTTTCACAAAGCACAACCTACTCACCATGTGGTGGGAGTTGATAGTAAAACTGACCCACCCACACAGTGAAAATTGGATTAGCCAGAGAAGTAAATTAGATTTTTGTGCACCTCCCCACCTCTGAGGTCATGCCACCACTCAACTCAGTCTCTCCATGACTTCAGTTTTATTCATCATTCACTTACTTCCTGCTTTGTTTCTTCCCAGTATCCCTCACGCTACCTCCACTTTGAGATCACTTTCATTTGGGCCTAGAGTACTGGCGGCCAAAGGCGGTACAAAGGGCATCTATAACAGTAAATCTTTCAAATAAGTTTTGAAAAATGAGATAAAATTGGTAATTTTGTAATTTTTTACACTCCTAATAGCTCAAATAGTCCAATATCATCACATCTTAAGTTTGCACAAGTTTGGCTGCTTGTGGCAGTTTGGTTTGTTACAAACATTGCTCAGTTATGACCCTGGTACCTGCTACACTCCAGCAGTAGTATCAGAAAGGGCACCCCCTGCTGTCACTGGAGATCCTTTCTCAGGTAATTAGGTCAAGTGAAGCTCACAATTAAGCGCAAACTCTTAATGTAGCTCATCTCCCCACTCCTGTAAGCCCCCTACCCCATCTGCTTCAGTAAGAGGAAATGAATCCTGTCTGGACTGCCAGGATGGAAAAAAAACCAAACAAGCCAAACAGCCGTTTTAATATTAGAATTACATCCATAATATCTGCCTACAACAGATTAGGTTGTGAGCTAATAAACTGAAGATGAAATTCAAGATGAGAAAACCTTAGTTTCCAGTTAGTCAACAAAGACAAACTCTTCTAGAAGTGAACATTGTATTTTTTATTATCATCATCATCTCAAGATCCCAAGCAAATGCTTAATACTCCAGCAAACATGCAAGGAATATGTACAGCAGGAGTCCAAAGGAGAGAAAGGGTACTAATGAGAAACATTATTTAACAAAATATCAAAACAACACTAAATTTGAGATAAATTTGAAAGAATTGAAACAATGATTACAACCCAACTCCCTTCATAAGTAGAAAACAAATTATAAAAGGAAAACATGGTGAATCTTGAAACCTGCAACAACAAACCAATACCTGAGTCAAAGACGAAGTCAAAGACGATTTGTCCGTGCAAATGGCAAAAACTCATGAGAGCTGTAGTTTGTATCAGATCATACAGTTAATGTTTGGTTAAATGATGAGATCCAGATCAGTAGAAGGAAACTAACCAACAAGATTTTACTTTGAAACACAGTCTAGTATTTTTTTTTTTCATGGCTTCATTAAAAGTTATTATACAGAGTGTATTTATTATAATTTATTTGTGACGACGGGTGTAGCAGGTTTAAGGGAAAAGGACAGTTACTGGCACATCACACGGAAGTCATTTTAAAATGTTAACCCTCCCATGGAGATGAGATTAAAATATATGAAAACCAGACAGAATGAATGAACAGGATTTCTCACCTCCTCCTCCTGCTGGTCCTCACATTTTCACTGAGCCCTTCAGCTCTCTAAACATCTTTGAGTACAAGTCTTTCTCTTTGTCCAGGCTGTCTTTATAGCACCTGGGACAAGAAAATGACACGTGAATATCTTCCGAGTGGTTTCACAAATGTTACAAAAGACAGTTATGATCCACTATGAGGAACACCTTGCTGTACCTCTTTTTGCCTTGTGTGTGCTTTGTGACATGGTATGATATCCTGCGGGAAGTTGTGGATTCAGATATGCTCTTCTGCACACATTGGCTGAGTAACAGCTGGTTATTCGAGTTACTGTCGTCTTTTTAGCAGCTTGTAGCAGTCTGGCCAATGAGGCAGAAAACCACTGCTTACTGTTCATTTTCCCTTTTTTGGATTATTTCCTTTTAAACCCCAGAGATGGCCGTGTGGGAAAATTCCAGTAACTCAGCAGTTCCCAAAATACTCAGATCAGCCTGTCTGGCACCAACAATCATGGCACGTTCACAGTCACCTAAATCACCTTTCTTCCCCATTCTGATGCACAGTTTAAAGTTTAGCAGGTAGTCTTGACTATGTATAATCCAGTTTCTGCCATGTGATTGACTGATTAGACGTTTGATAGACCTTAACGAGCTGTTGAAGCAGTTACACAGTGCACCTAAAAAGTGGTGGGTGAGTGGAGGCATTAATATAAAATTAATGTAATAGTCACGGTTGTGTGGACAGACAGAGGGCTCTAGGTCAGGTAGCTGTTACAGTTTCAGCGCACTGCTGTGCATACTGCTGCACACAGGCCAGGAGAAACAGCTGAAGCAGCATTTATTCTAAAGTCATTAAAATCATCTTACATTGTCACTTTCCTCAGAAGGTTGTTGATGTCACTGTCAAAGGGCTTCTGTGCTTGAGCAGATGTGAGGCAACACTGAGCACTCGCATACTCATGCAGCTCCAGGTAAGCCTAAAAGAAATGCGATTAGTGTATCAAACTGCATCTTTAACTAAGTTAATATGTTTTGGGAGACTTGAAACACGAAAGCGTGAATAAAAATGATTTTGTTTCCTGTTTTTCCTGTGTCATCAACCCCCTTTTTTGTTTGTTTTTTTAAACCCCCCAGAGATAGTGAGGATTATTTATCCGACAGTCTGGAAGACAAACAAAAGCCCCGTCCTACCTGTCCGCAGCGGAAGAGAGCCTTTGTGTTGGCAGAGTCTATCTCCAAGGCTTTGTTTCCATATTTCAGGGCTTTGTGCGGTCTTTCCAGGCGGAGCTCAGCGAGAGAAATATTCAGGTAGAGAGGAAGCAGAGCCGTCTTGATCCTCTCCTTCTCTAAATCACTCTGTGTTTCCCTGTTTCCCAGCAGCGTCATAGCCTGCAGGCAAAGCCGAGAAATATAATAAAAAAAACACTTTCACCAAGAACAACTTGGCATGATATTAGCCATCGCAGTAAAACGTAATTAAAAATAAAAACAATTAACATACTTCAAAATGTACCTGTTTATAGCGATCTTTGGCATTGTAATATCGGTTCTGGTTGAAGAAACGGTTGCCAAAGCTCCGCAGTGTGTTGACAACTTCAAGAAGTGTGGACATAGGAACGGTGTTCTGCTGCTCCTGAGGAGGAGAACAGAAATCAAAGACCGTTTCTGATCTGTGCTATAAAAGCAAAAAAGTAGAGGCTTTTAAGTATGTGTGGTAAAGATGCAGATCTGTCTGAGGTTGGTAGTACTAAACAGAGCACCTGCAGCCTCCCTACCACACTCATTGTAATAAAGTCATCCACTTGTCCTGAGTCAAGGTAGTCGAGGATCTGAACCTCATACAGAACCACAGCTGCTGCGGGGATAAATGGAGGGCATCCCATTTCCCCGTAAGCATACTGAGGCTGGAGGAGGAACCGAGAGAACTCTCCTTTCTTCATGGTCAACAGACCCAGCTCCAGCCCGGCCAGTGTCACATCTGTTTGAAGAATGACTTTTAAAACTGGTATATTTCAGGCAGGAAAACAAAAAACTCACGGTTCAGCCATTGTAGAGCATTTCTCACCTCTCCCCAACTTCATCATCCGAGGGTATTTGAGGTGAGTGGTGGTTTCAAAAGGCTGATCAGAATATTCCAGGAATCCTGAGTAATGGACTGTGTGGAAGAAAAAACCAGACCATCAGTGATGTAGCAGCTCAACCAGCTCACACAATTCACAGGTTATTGTCCATAAAATGGCAAACGTGACCTTCAGGGGACAACTGGGTGCAAGGTTCATAACAATCTGAACAACACTCTACAAGAAGTAGAGATTTTTGTGAATTGTGGCTAGACAAACTAAAAATCCTGACCTCACGTATATGATAACTTACAACTGTAAGAGGCTTTAACAAGAAATGTGTACTCATACATACTCAGTACTGAAGCGTTTTCGGGGACAGGCGGGCCATCTCCTGGCTGGACCACCTCCTTCAGGATTCCTCCATCTCCTATGATATCGTTCATCCGCGGACGTAGCTGCTCAAAAGGACTCTACGATGGAAAGAAGATTAAATGACACTTGGCAAACACACATTTTATACTCAAACACCAACCGCTGCATTCTTATGTGTGACACAAAGTTGGTATAGATTTGCTACTGAAATTTATGTGTACTTCAAGGACCAAAAATGTTCATAGTGTGAGTGTACCCTTCATTTCGTTATATTTTGTTTACAAGGAGCAAGAATTTCTCATCATTTTTTAAGTGGTTCCCCAGACTTTATGGAGGTCTTCAAAGGTTTTCTTTGCTGCTCTGCTATTTTACACATTTTAGTCCAGTCCTTGTACCTAACTATTTTCAAAGTTATTATTTGTTTGTTTGTTTAGCCACTTAAAACTGACCAATTAATCATTCAAGCATAAAAAAAGCCCCTAACTCAAGGCATGAAAGTGTTAGGTATACACATAACAAACAACTTAACAAAGAACTGATTTTAAAATTGTATCTTTATCTTTGTTACGAGCAGCTAATCACAAGAACACGGCACGGCATAGTTGTTTTCTTTAGTTGAAAAAAATAAAATAAAAAAATAATACAACAAAAATATCCCTGTGTCCTCAAAAAAAGAAAAGTGAACAAATAGAGGAAAATAGTGGTAGACCAGGTAAGGGTCACAAAGGGCTGTACACACACACACACGCACAAACACACACACAAAGAGTAAAATATATACCAATATTAAATGGCATAATAGGCAGCAAATAATGACACAATAAAATAGGCTGGTAGTTAAAAAATAATAATAAATAAAATTCTTACAAAAAAATAAATCTTACTGCTTTTTAGCACACAGCGACAGTGAAAAAACAAAGCGTAGTTGTAGTAGGAGACAAGGCTCCGTCCCATCTAGCTTTTTCTAGCACAATATTGTGCCTGTAAACGAAGACAGTGAGGAGCAGTGTATTTTCTAATAAGCCGTTACACACCTGAAATGAAAATCAGTGACATGGTCTTATGGTCTTAGAGATTAATCCCAGTCTGACATTGTCAGTTCAAATTGGTAGGTATGTACAAAGAAATGTCAGGAAGGAAGGAGGTAGAACAGTGAGGCTCTGGGATGTTTTATAGATGATGATCTGATTGTGATACCTCATACAATAGTAGTTAGAAAAACCTTCATTTTTCAGCATGGCAATGATCCCAAACACCCACAGCCATGGACTGGCCTCCCCAGAGCTCACAGCTCAACTTTACTGAAACAGTGTGTATCTTGATAGAGAATAGAACAAACAGCAGCCAACATCCAAAGAAGAGCTTTGACCATCCTCCAAGAAGCCTGGAGAACAATTTCTGAAGACTACTTAAAGAAATGAATAGAAAGCTTGGTTGTGTTGTTGAAAAAACGTGGTCTTACCAAATACTCACTCGTTACAATCGTGCAAACTCTGTTTTTGCACGTTTCAACAAATTGCTGCAACTTTTACTAGCAAAACATGAAGAAAATTTAATAAAAACCTTTGCACAGCTATGTATGTGAGGTATTTAGAGTAAATACTGTTGACACTAATCAGAATTCTCTTGCATGTAAAATCATTGTGTTGAACTGGCAGTGAAATACATAACCAGCTGACACTTGAGGCTAACGGTGAACTGTACCTAATTTTACCAAGCTAGTTGTGTCATTTCAAACCTGGGCACTATTTAAAAATAATAGCCTACATAAAGAATATATGTTTTTTCTAGTCTAGCTGTAATATTATATTATAGTGGTTATATTTTTTAGCAAAAATTCAAACTTTGCTAGCATTTGGTCAGTTAGCTGAGCTAGCAACTTTCAGGCTTGCTGACACGTTTACTTACCGGAGACCTCGTTTCGAGCGGCTCCTCGTCGTTTATTAGCCTCCGCAAACTCGATATTAACCCGTTCCTTGACATTTACTCGGTAGTATGAGTTAAAACTGTTGTAAACAGCGCTGTTACACAGATAACTCTGTAAAGCCAGTTCCCTAGTTTGTTCTGGCGCTCAGGCTTGGGTTAATTACACCACGTGACCTTGACGAGCGGCCCAAACTGTGCGCAGAATACGGGTCCAGGAAACGCGTCTGTGCAATTTGTCTGCACATTTAGGTGAGCCAATGCCAACTATACACGGGGCTGGTATTACCAATCCCAATACTGAAACTTTTAGCCTATAAATTCAGTTTATTTGGGAAGAGCACTGTATCATCATCAGTCTGCAAATTCCGCCCTTAACGAGGCTTTTGAACTATTGACTATTTTGAAACTGGGGTCTGTGTTGTTTTAACAGACAGAAATCGTCATCCTACTTTACCTGCCCGTTGATATATATATATAAAAAAAAGACAGAGTACAAATAGAGACACACAGATAAAAAAAAAAAAAGAAACAATAAAAATGTCCTTGTTCATAAAACTTTTAATTCAAATTCCAAACAGATTTTAAATATTGTAAATATAACAAACATTAAAGTTATTTTTGTGTAGATGTGCACTGAGTTTATTTAGACAAAACTGTGTGGCCACCGTTGAGCAACAAATTATATGTGAATATATGTAACAAATTCTGAAGCTTACACTAACATAAGAAATAATGATAATTTAAAAAAAAAAGACAAAAACTATCTATGCACACATATCAGTCAATAGATTACAGGTAGTATATAATTCACAGTTTTTCCAACTGTAACATCTGTTGCTTTAAGCTTATGTTTAAAGTTTTAAGTGTGTAAACAAATAATACAAAACTGAAATATAATAAACTGTACAGAAAAGGTAAAAAAAAAAAAAAGATGTTAAATTGACAAAAGTAGGCCATTTGTACAAAGTGGGATCAGACTATTACTTGAACTGAACTAAGCTGGTAAGGAAACAAAGTCAGTCTTGTGGTTCTCTTTAGAATATCTACAGTATAAATAACTTTATTGACATACTTTAGTTGCTAATACCAGTAGTAACACTGTCTGCAGTGAAATGCTTCATTTTCATCAAAAATTCTGCAGTTCAGCCGGATAGACAAAGTTGCTTCTGAAAAATTTGTAGGCCATTAGCTGTCCTCCAAATATCATCATCACCAGGCCTGTACCTGTGGAGAGAAGAGTTAAAGGACTGCAAGAGCAGCTGAATCTGCAGGCATGATGTAAGTGAGCTATAGTATGTCTAGATAGAAGAAATGTAATATCTTGAAATAGATTGGAAGCTTGAAAAACAAAGTGGATATTTTTTTGTCTTCTGCAAATGAGATTGGAGTCAGACAGAGGCACGGACAGAACAATGAAGGAGTACAAATCTTACCCAGAGCCATCCACCAGTGCTCAGCTGAAGGGAAGTCTGACATGACTGCAAAACACACCAGAATACAATTTAAATTTTGTGACAACAATTACTATCAAACTAATGAATACTGACTGTGACCTCGGGGAAAAAGATAAATATGCAAGCTTTATGCTTGGATAAACTGATTCCAGTTTAGCGGTGAACATTCAAATGAAATAGTGTCCGTGGGTTTATACGCTGAGCTGCAGCCTCTATATCCAGTTACATAACCAGGCCTCCAATCCTATCAGCTGTTCCGCTCAATTGATCCACTTTGTGTTTCTGCGTGCGTGTGTGTGTGTGTATATACCTGCTACAGTCATTGCAATGTGGAGAAGTGTGACAGTTATGGCATAGTCCCAAACCCACTCCTCCACAATCCAGGCAAACACCAGTCCTCCCAAAATATAGGTCACTTCTGTGGAAATTACTCCGACTGCAGGAAGAAAGCAAAAAAGTGGCACATCACCTTACAGAGCTGCTTTTGCTTTAACAATAAACTGCTATGTCCAGTCACATGCGACTGTGAAAATGCTGAGCCACTATAAAATGACATTTTCAGACAGCACTCCTGATACTGAGCAGGAGCCCTTCAATCTTTTGTTCAGGTCAGAAGATTCCAGAAACAACAACCAATGAAAATCAGAGGCCTGACAGGATGAAGCTGGAGCCAGGGCTGCAGCGCAGTGACACCAGGGATGTCCGGAGAGGCATGAGGATGATCGCTGGCTGCAGGCCCAGCAGTCAAATGCTAGATGGGGACATCAAGAGGGCCAACAGGCTTAAATGTTTATTTGGAAGATTTGGCACACCGCCTTGCATTAACTAGCAATGCTGCCACCACCTCCGGAGACATGTCTGGAGAAGGTCCCTGTTCCGATACCACGAGGGCCCATCCCAATGCCAGCAACTCAGCGATTGCAGTCTGGTAGCCTCTTAGTTCACACATCATGAAGGCTAACTGCTTGCAAACACACACACACACATACATACCAGGGTACACTATCAGATTCATATTCTCTGATTTCTCCAACACCTTTAAAAAAGTTGACTCCTATGTAGGTTACTGTAGTGGTGTCCTGGATCATAAATTACTTTACCAGATTTTATGAGTAATTCCCATTTTTGAGCAGGACTGGAACAACACAGTACACCGCGACCTGTTTACTTTCCTCTTTGAGCTGCAAGCTTGAGACTTAAAGTTCACAGCAGTATTTTCTTGGATTAATGAGAAATAAATCATCTTATTTGAAGCTGACCTTTCTCTCCTAAGTAAGCCCATTTAGGAAAAATAACCTTGGTTATTTGGAGAATAATAAGAGAAACACGAGGAGTTCTTTCACTGTGTTCATGGGTCAAGTTTCATCCTTAACAACCTAAATATGCAAAAAGGACATGAGAGAAAAAAGGGTTGCATTATTCTGATTTCAGAATTTTCCTGCTTTACTATCTTGAGCTTCAATCCACCATCTGCCCGGAGTCTTTCTGTGTGGAGTTTGCATGTTCACCCAGTGTCTGCGTGGGTTCTCTCCGGGTACTCTCACTTTGTCCAACAGTCCAAAGTTTGTTGACAACATGACAGAGTCTATAGAACAATGTAGGTGAGAACTGTGGACTAGAAAGTCAAAATTCAATACTTCTGAAAGTTGCAGAGATTATACAAGAAAGAGAGATTATAGAAATGTAAAAAAATAATTTTCAACAGATAGTGATGACATTGATATGACTATACTGAAGAAAGTAATTCATGAAATTATGTGTCCAATTACATATATATGTGATTTATCACTCAGAACAACTAGATCAACATCTATGGTAATGATGGAGTTAGTGTAAAATATTACCGAACATATACATAATAAAAAAATATGCAGTGGGGATATTTATTGACCTGTAAGAGGCTTTTGATACAATTGACAATAAAATATTGTTACAAAAAATGGAAAGATATGATGTGAGAGGGGCCAAAAACAGCTGGTTAAAAAGTTATCTTGATGACAGACAGCAATTTGTACAAATTGGTCAGTCAAGTCTGTGTGCTTGAATATTTTACCTGTGGTGTCCCACAAGGTTCAGTATTGGGTCCCAAACTATTTAATATGGCATCTGTAGAGTGACAAACTTGTGTGCATCTATGCATGTGCATATGGATATGTATAGGTATGTAAGTATGTATTTATGTATGTGTTTATGTATGTATGCATTTGTATGTAGATATGTATATTGTTACCATTTTGATTAAGAGATTATATGCAAACTTAGGGGCAGGACTGGATGATCCACTGCTTCTTTCTGCTCACCTTTTTGTTCGGGTTTATAGATCATTATGTTGGGAATTTTTTATTTCAGTTTCCTGTGTTTGTTTGTTTTTGTTTGTGTTTTTTTAAATTTTAATAATTCTAAAAGAAAGAAAGAACGAAAGAAAGAGCCCGTAGGCCTGAATGTGAGTGAGAATAGTTATCTGTCTCTCTGTGTTAGCTGTGTGATAGACTTGCAGTCTATCCAGGGTGCGCTCGCCCTATGACAGCTGTGATAGGCTCAAGCCCTTTATATATATATTTAAACACAAGAATCCACGTGTCCCTCAAATTTAACAGTTTCCTTGTCCCAAGTTCTCAGTTATGTGCGCATTATATGCAGTAATTAAATCAGAGGTGCCCGCTTCTTCACAAGCGGTTGCCACAGTGGGTCTTTGAAGTCAGACAATTGTGAGAACAGATGGAACACACAACTTTTTCTTCTAGATCATATAATCAAAATATGGTCAATGTGTTTTATTTTGAATTAAAACATATTTATTTATTTCATTTTTAGCTTCTGAAAAACTGGAAAGGAGCTAAATTATACTGTATACAGCACAAGTCATTTTAAATAGTGTGTAATTCCAAGATAATTCTGTGTAAAAACGAATGACTGTAGCTTCTGTCTTTCGATGAATGCTGCAATGTGCCAGAAGATGCTTTATGAGACTCTCTGTTGGGGCAAAAGCAAACAAATATAGAAAGGGCTAGCTCGGTCTGTCATGCAAAAGAAGCTGCTATCAGAACTCCCCCCTCAGCACAGTGTTCTGGTTAGTCAGAGGAGAATTATATACTAAACATGACTCACTGCAGCACTGAACGTCACAGGACGTCCTTGCTTCCTTCTTGTGGCTGTCAAGTTACACAGTTCCTCCTCTTTCTGATGAAGTAGTATAATTTTACAATTTCTACAGTCTTGAGCAACTGTTATGAAGCAGTTCCCCCGCAGGGGTTATTAAAGTTTTTCTGATTTCCATTCAGGCTTTAAAGGCTACCTATCATAGTCATTTACATCTCTTTCTGTAAAAAAACAAAACAAAGAAAACCCTATATTTTAGCTTTATAGTTAAATGGAAATAGAAGTAATCTATTACCACAAAATGTGTAACTATTGGACTAAAGGTACTCACTGTGGAGGAGGACAGCATATGTCTCATATGTTTTGGATTTAACCTTAAAAGTAACTGATAACCTCAGAGCTGAATAAATTCAGCATTTTGTAAAATACTGGCCTCTGAAATACAGCAGAATGTAAGTAACAGAGGTCATGAAAATGATATGCTCCTCTAGTTTTACTTCACAACTGTAACTCACCCAGGTATTTGGGGTTCTGCCATGACGGTTGCGCGGTGTAGTCGAATGGAGCCAACAAGCTGTTGATTTCATGAACCCTGAAGACATGAAGCAAGAAAAGATAATGACGTGAGCACGAATAATAACAAGTCTATTGCAACCTGCTTATCTGTCTCTCTTATCCCACTGGGTCTCATTATCGTGTGAGTCTGAGTTTACCTGAGCAGTCCAATGCAGAGACTGACCGCGATGTAGTAGAGAGAGTAGAAGCACACCATGCACATCAACAGATTCTGCAGAACAACCTGAGGAGGGGCGA